AGACCATGATATTGAATGTATTAGGAAGCAAGTTTTACAAATTTGGAATGTCCACGATGACAAGTTATAGTTTTCACATCGTTTTTATCATTTTGAAAAGTTAAAATAATTTTATTATTTTAAAACTTCTATTTTAAGCGTTAAAACAAGCTTGTTAACAGTCATAAATTATTTTTAATTGTGAGATTGATTTGTCTGCCTTTTGTAGTAAAGAATGGAAAGAATTTCGTGGATTTTGTTTCTCAGCATTTCGTATTTTACGTCGACATGCCAATGTTGTTCTCAATTTATTTTCACTTATGCTGGATTCTGGAATACCGGATATCGCTATTGAAAAGGAAAAGGCAGTTCAGAAGGTGGAGCAGAGGTTCGTTTTTTGCATTTTCTGTTGTGACGAGCATAACTATTTTAAGATGAACCATGATCTTGAGTATAGTGAGAATGTATTTCATAAATTTAAGGTTGTAAGTGGTGTAAATTATTTTCTGTTCTTCTGTCGTTCTCGTTTTTTAGTTTTTAGAGTATCTTCATTTTTCCGCAGCATTGTATTTTGTAGATTCCATTTATCTCTGAGCGAAGAACTAGCCGAACAGAAAATGGAACATCTTATCGATGAATCAGTTAATGCAAAAATTACGAAGTTTACTGATATAGTGCATGATGTTCATCATATGATAACAAACTAAACAGCTTTCATCAGATTCTTGAAAAGAGTCATTTGCTTCTTGTTCTAAATGTAATACAGCTAATGTATAAAAAATGATGTAACATGAGATTCCTGGAAGTTTTTTATTAAGATCTTTATAGTGTACTTGTGTGAATACTTTTTATTTGAAGGAAATTCATGTTTTGTATATTTTCAAATATTTGGAAATTTTTTGATTTTATTTATACTGTAACTTTTTTTCGAAAAAGAATCAAAGTTTAACTGAATGAAAGTGTCTCTTTCTGATTAATTTTCAAGACATCTGAATTGCAAGTTGGACGAAAAAATAGCTAAGTAAAAAGTATATCCTCATAAGTAAATTTCAGTCTTAATGACTGCAGTAATATCCTAAATTAGTAGTATCATTTATCATGCAAATATTCTAAAAATGTTTTCTATAAATTTTAATGCATTGCGTTTTCTCTATGCACATAGGGCATTCTTTATCGGAAATTTGTTCTCTTCGAGCAAAGCTAAAATCCGCTAGTCGTCAAGGACAGATCAATACAAGCTAGTGGTGCTAAAGTGTTGAAGTGGAAAATAATATCCAAAAGGGGTCGATATTGTATTAGGTCCTTCTAATACTTGTTCCACGACTCTTTACCACAGTAATGCGTAGCCATCTGCAAACCATCATAACCTTGTCAGCAGCTAAATTCCATGATCTTTGTAATGTTGCTCGGAGTACACAAGGTTGGATTCTATTCTTATATCGATGGATTATTTACGTTTTAATTGAGATCATGTTAAAAACAAATAGTCTATATTTTTCAGGAACTAAGTCGGATTTAAACATTCTTTAAATTTTAATTCAGTGATTTAGCCTGAGATTCAAGTACTAAGAGTAATGAAAGTTAATATTTTTCTACTAGAAGAGGAAATGTCTAATACTCGCAGCTTAGGTATTGTAATTATTTGAAATTCACTGGTTAGGTCACATTTTGACTTCGTGTTGAGCATATACATAACAGTCTCACCAATGGTGTTTTTTGTAATTATGTTCTGGATATGTCCAAAACAACAAGAGACAGGTGCAGGTTACTATGAAAATAGAAAATGGTGAATGGTCACAATGGTTAAAGTTGAATTAGGTTTTTGTCGGATTATTAAAGATGTGATCAGAAAAATAAAAATTTTGCAGAAATGCTAAATAGTAAAGATACAATGAAAGAAAAATTGTGTGACGAGTGTTTTCATGTAATACAGATGGCACTTCGTTGTAAGCATCAGAAAATAAATCAGGCTGCTGCTGATTTACTTCAAGTGATTGCTAAATAATTATTATTTCATTCATTACATTAATGACCATGAAAGTAAAGCTTTTTGCTATTTCTGACAAAATTTTTGCAAAATCCAGCAGCATTTTAGCATGAAATATGTCTGAAATTCTCCTAAGAATCAATTTATGTCCGCGATCAGAATTACAACTTTCAAATAAATTACGGTCGTCTAGCAATTACTTTAATAGCTACTGACTGTAGAAAATTGTAAATATTTTTGTGATGGTACCATTAAACAGTGCACTCATGATCAAACAAATTGCAAAATTTTTGACTTTTTGAATTAATATTATAAAATGAGTAAAGAATTGGAAACATTACCTGTGAATTAAATTTCAAGAGACCTGAAATGAGCAATTAGCAAAATCGGCTAAAAGTTAGTCTTTAACAGAAAATTTTTTAAGGCGATAATACGAGATAAATGTATTATTAGTGAAACAAACTTTGTGGATGATTCCTTACCGCTTTCAGTATTAAAATCGGTTGCATTACTACCTGTAATTAAAGCTCCTATACAATGTAAAATTTTAACGGTAAGTTTGCTACTTTAAATTTTTAACTTTAGAATTTTATTTGATATTTACATCAAAATTTGCTTTGCTTTGATGTTTAATTGAACTATCAAACTGAATATCAGTCTTTATCTTTTGATTATAATCTTATAAAGTCAATTTTATTTGCGATAAAATTTTCTGCAGTTAATTGTCGAAGTGATGTGTAAAGAAGAACGACATATCACCACTGAATTAGTTATGGAAGCCTTAACGGTAAATTATTTTATCATTTTATTCATAATTTTTTGCGCACTTTTCTAAAAACTAATTGCTACAAGTGCTAATGCAAAAATCAAATTTATTAACAGCAAAGAATTGAAATTATCTCGAGGTAATTTAGTAACATATATTTTCATTTTAATTGAAAATTATCTGCTAAATTATTAATTTTTATGAATAATAAACTCTGTATGCCTATTAGTGAAAGATTCTCTGTTTGACAAAATAATTGAAGGGTTAGTTAGCTTGCTACCATAATTACTTGAAGAACTACGGTGGATAAATCTTTGCTTTGATTCTTTTACTGCTCAGTTATTCTTTTTGTTATTTTTTACTTTAAGCATTACTTTACTTTTCTCAGTTGTGCTTGCAAACATACGAAAATGCTGAAGAAACGAGTGTAAGACTGGCTTGTCGTGCTGCTATTACCCAAATTTTCACTTCATTTTGTACTTTACCAAAAGTTAATGAAAAGGTTATTAGCTTTTTAACCTTTTAACCTTTCCTTTCTTGATAGTTTTCTATTGACAAAATGCTACTGATTTTTTTCTTGAATATTAACAATTTTTTGTTAGACTACTTGGGATAAGATTCACTCTTCAATAGTTATCTTATATTACTGTCAGATTTAAAGTTCTGCCAAATTTCTCTTGGAGAGGAAATCTTTATCATTTGTTCTACAGTATATGGTTTTTGAATAATTCAATGATTGCATTAGTTGTTTGTAACTGAAAAATTCTGCTATATTTAAAATAGCGGTTAATCCAATAATGAAGTTATCGGTTGCAGGTTGATCACCCTCATGAGTTTATAGCTGTTGCCATGGATGTTACATCGTTGTTGAATAAAGTAATCGAAAAAATTAATATCATTAATCCACAATCAGATCAAATTGTAATTTTATTAGATGCTATTTACAGCATTCTCAGTTCACAGCCTATTCCTATTACTAAACACCAACCATTCATAAATGTTATATGGTCTGACTTTTAAAATTATATATGCTTTCATTTTTTTAAATTGAGCAAAAATTTTACGGCATTAATTACATAAATTTTCTAGTTTAGTTATTTATATATTTAATCATTTATGAAGTGTAAATAAAAATATTCACTTTATATTACATTTTGACCAATTGTTTTCTCACTGCTTCTGAATCCAAATTATAGATAAATGATTTATAAAATATTTAGATTAATTTACAGCAACGAAATATTTTTTCAATTGTTAGTGAAATTATTTCATTTTTAATGTGCTAACTAAATTATTTTATTTTTATGCTTTCTCTATGCTTAATATTTCAGGTGTGAATTAAGTCCATGTTTGATGAAAATGTTAGGGGAACCGGAAAAGAGCACTCGCGATACCACGGAAGGAGGTGAGCCCTTAGGACGAGGGCACCGATCACTGATAACACGTAATAAAAGTATTTTCGATCATCCAGAAATCGTTCTTTCTTTATATCAGTAAGCAAAATTTTTCGTCTATCTTCATCTAATGCTAACTTATTTTCATATCTTATATATTATTAAATAAGAGAAAAAAAAATTAAATTCAGGATTGTTGAACAATTGTTACGATTGCTATCAACTCTTCCTGGTATGCGCAGTGTACTTGAAGCAATATTCCATAAAGCATTACTCTATCCACCAGTTGATCAACGTTTTGAAGCCTTGCGTGTTATTAGGAAGGTTCAGGACTACTTTTTTAGCAGTTTTTTAAATAGTACCTAAATTTTTGTTGATATGAAACGTGTAATTGAGAAGTTTCGAGTGATTATAATGCATCAATTTTTCTATAATAAACCCTTTTTTTTAATAAAAATATAGTGAAATGATCTAATTTAGTCAAAAATAAGTTTAGATTGTTGGAAATGAAGAACGACTTGCCGATATTGTTGCTGTTTCAGTGTTCAACGAATCACTAACGTTGTGGACATTAATTATAGACTGTATTCTAGAGTGCAGTCAATCAGGAAATATCGAACTTGCTTCAGAATGTCTTCGAACGTTGCAAACTTTTGTTTGTCTTATTTTTTTTGCTTATTAACATCTTTTATTTACATATTTTGTTATCATTTATGGTGTAGATTTAAAATTGTCATAATATAACATTGATGATAAAACTTATGGTAATCGTCTTCTTATTATCTCTAATAATTTAACCTTTTAAAAAAATTAATAATAATTTCAGTTAAATACGGCATCTCGATTATGTGCAAATGATAATGACAACGTATTATCTCCAGAACTTACAAGCTTGATTTTAGAAAGTCTACCTCTAGAAATCACCATATCAGAAACAAATTCTGGTCTGTGGAATTAAATTTGTCTTTAAGAAGATTGCTTGTAAAATAGTAATTAAAGTAGTTGTAATAATTAGCTCATTAAAACTTAACTGTTTATAAAAATTTCTAACAGTTTACCACGATTGCACTTCATAAACATCTAGATAAATCTGTGAAATTTTGATATTCCCTAAATTTCTAAGCAAATTTGACACAAACTGGATGCAGCATATATATTTTCTTCGTTTTTTGTGTAAATTTGAAATTATCTTAAAAATATATTTTGTATGACATATTAATTTCAGAAAAAAATTTGCCGAATGTTTGTTCACAGAAACTTGATAGTGTTGAACCGAATGATACAAAAGAATCGGATATAGATCGTAACAATTCAGCAGTGAATTTGGAGGTAAGATGATAAAAATTCACGTTACAGAAACTAGAAAATTGATATTACAAATATCATCGATGATCATTGAAGAAGGATAAATATATAATAAATATGGTAAATAATGCATCTATAAGTTTTTTGTTGACGATGTGTGACTTAAATATAGTTGTGTAGTTTGTGTAAGAGGATTTTTTTTTGTATGTATAAAAATATTTACATCTTTTAATAATTAGTGGTTTTTTTGTAAAATGTGAAATGAAAGTATAATGGTAATAACTAAAAAATTTGATGATAACGACGATTTGTTTTTGAACTATTGATGATAAAGTTGATGTTTTAGGTGTAATAAAAAATTATTTGAAAAATTTTTGCTTATTCGAGGATACAGTGTTAAGTTAATTTATAAAAAGTAATGTTGTAAATAATGCTGCAGTGAAAAATTCAATTACAAAGTTTAGGTAGATCAAATACTCGAGAAATTATCGTTCAAGTACAATGAAAAAAAAGCAGATTCTTCGAGACAGTTTGATCGTTCTTCTTGTGATTTATCTTGTCAAGTGAGCTTTTAATTTTTTTGACTCAAAAATAATAACAAAAGTATTGAAATTATAAAAGAAAAGACGCATCAGTCCTATTTCTACCTCATTCATCATACAATACACATAACAAAGTATAACTTTTTTAATAAATATGAAAAATAATTTTTCTTTTTGTTGTTTAAAAGCACAATGGTTAGTATTAATGAAGCACAATTACATTTTATTAAATTTATTAAGTAAATTTTATTGCTACATTACGTTGAGACTATTACGAGTATATGATTAAATTTAGTAAACAATTCATTTTTATTATTTCTAGTATTTATTAAATCTACCACGAAATAAATGTATATTCTATCGCTACAATAGAAAAAATAGGCTAACTTTTTGCATTTTATCGAACAGAACTAAAAATGTTATTTAGTATTCATATTATAAATTTGAAAAAATATATTCATAATTGAATGTATATTTCAGAAGGAGCTAAATACAGCAACTTACTTCATAAAAGAATTAATGAGCGCAATCCCCAAATGGTTGCAAATTAAAAGTACAATTGAAGTAGACGAAGCAATTCAAGAATTTTCGTCTTCATTCTTTTCTGGTCTCTCGATTGAAAAAATATTTTGATTTTGATAACTGCAGTAGAGTAGTTGACTTTCTTAGAATTATGAAGACAAAAATAATCTTTTAATAATAGACAGTAATAATTAATTATAATATTGAATGCAATATGTGTCAAAGTTCTGCAAAAGAATGCAGTTAAAAATTGCAGAATTTATGATGGCTCAAAAAGATGCATTTGAATTGCATGGTGAAACACAGTCACAATTTTTGAATTCAGATGCTCTGTATCTTACTGCTTATGCTACATTAGCAGTCATTCTATACAAAAATAGCAATGAATCCTACGACAAAGTATAAAAGCAGAAATTTTTTTATGAAGTCAGAAATTAAAAAAAGCAAATGTATAGTTTTTGTTTCATAGATTTTGGTTCCAAAAATGGCTGAAAATTATTTTATGAAAATTTTCAGGACTGAAATAACGTATTATCGTTGAAGAATCTTAGCTTTCCTCGTTTATTTCGTATATTTAATAATTTAGTTGAGTTGGCTTATGCTTGCAAAATTGACATTATTTATATCTGACTAAGATACTTTGTGTTAGATTGTCAAAACATAAAAAGTTTGTCAAAGTTTTTTGATTTAGAAGTGGTTTATAAACGAGGTACTTCTCAGCAAATGTATTGTGTATAGCAGTGATCATTGGTTAAACGCTGTGTACGATGGTGTGATTAAGACAGAAATGGATTTGCAATTTTCAAATAATGCTACAGTACCATTAATAAATGTTATTGAAGGTTAATTCATGAATATTTTTTGGTTTCTCATCATATAAACATTTATTTCTAGCTTGATTTTGTCTGATATCACTTAGTGCACTAAAAATTATTCCTGAAGATGTTTTAACTTTAAGTATTACTTTTGTATAAAATAATTCATTGCAAGTTATATCTAACCTTGTAATTTTTATGAGAATTTATCTTTAATAATCTGAAATTACTAATTGATTTCAGATTATACTGGGCATGATATCAAACTTATGAGAGATACGCGTCGAATACAACAAATACTTATTAAAAAAAGTGAACATTCATTAGCTGGTAAATTAAGAACTTTCTTTCTATTCCTTTTAGAAGCATTCATATCTATAAGATTATTAAGTCAAATAAATAAATCAAAAAGGAATTTCTTTTGCATTCTGCTTTCTAGTTTGATGTTAGTTTCAATTCGTTGAACTGCTCCATTAGTTTTTGATAATAGTACTGAACTTTTAGTCTTAAAGGTTACTTTAATGTTAATAATGTATCAGTTTAAAGACTAATATTATCTAGCATGTCAAAAATTAATTGTATTTCAAATTGCTATCAGATAAGTTATCATAAACAAAGTATAGAGAAAACAAAAATGTGTTCTGTTCAAAACTTGTGGATATTTGAAAAATAATAAAACTTTTTCAGCTTGTAAAGCATGTCGATGGCTTTTGTCAAAAACATGGGATAAATTGTTTTCTTCACCATCAAATCTGCTTGATTTGCATTGCAAGTTACGTCGTATTATCCGTCCCAAAGCTGCTGAAGTTTTTGACCAAGCCATCTATACATTATTAGCATTGGCTAAATTATGCACTATGATAGGTTTGTTAAAAATTTAAATTAGCCTATATTTTTTTATGTATATAATTATTGTTATTAATTCAAATAGTTTTGCTCGATCCATTTCAGCCATACTTAAAGGTATTTTAGTATAGTTCTTGTTCTACTTTAATTTATTGGAGATAATTTCGGTTTCTAAGCTCTTAATTATAATGGTGCTTTAATGCTTCATTGTTCAGTAATTTCTAGAACTTTCACATTTAAGTTTAAATGAGGAATAATTTTTAAATATATTTTTGCTGAAATGAGCAATTTCAGGTCTTGAAAAATATAATCAAATAATTATTAAACGTCTTGTGGAAGTTACATGTCCTATAAATGAACTCAGAACTCTGGCAGCACAAGAACAAGTTGATTCTTCTACAGAACGTTCTAATAAATGGTCATTACGAAAATCGAGTGTTTTAGCAATTGAAGCAATTTTAGATATTGGTATGGAATGTGGACTCCATGAATCAGATAGCTGGATTGACATTATCAGGTTATTTATTTAACTTAGGTCATGAAATGAACTTCAGTAGTCATTTATTGGAATGAAATGTGAAGGTAATCCTTTTGAAGGAAATGTGAAGCTAAGGATTACTTTCAAAAGATTAAGCAAAAAAGATTTTCATTTTTGAATGACTATTTAGCAAAAATCTTGGCCATTATAATATTTGTAATTTATTTAAAAATATGAACAATTTTTATCATTTATTCTGAGTTTTTTTAAAATAAATAAGTATATAATTGCAGATGTACAGAATATGTATGGGAAGTTGAGAGATATTTGTTCAGTACAACTCAGTCTCAAGCAAACTGGAAATTTTTTGCTTATAGTGGGAGTGCATCCGAAAACATACAATGTTTGGATGATATTTTATCAGAAGATAGTAGTGATAAGCTCAGTAATCAAACTTCTTCTGCCGTTCTTTGTTTTCTGATATCATTAACGAATAAGTAAGATTGAAAAGATTTCATGCAAATATTTGATCGATTCTTAGCAGTCAAAATTGAATTATTTACGATAATTTTATAATTGAAAATTGGTAATAATAAAGTGTGCAGAAGCAAAAAATTTCAAGCAAATTGCTTATCTTTAGCTGTCAAGATTATGTGTATACTTTTTTAAAGTAGTATCTGTACTTTTTGTGAATATTTATTCTTAATCTCAGTACTGTATTATAAGTTTAATATAAACATTTTAAAAATATAGATTTTATGATCGCGTCAGCAGAGAGTTAAATTTGATTGCGTTATGCGAACTATTGCAAAGTTTGGTGGTAGTGAGCGAAAATAGCCTACAAAATGCAAGCAATTTAATGCAGCTAGGAAAATGTGTTGTTGACCCAACGATACTGCTTGCTCCTATATTAACAATTTCTATGAACCTTTCTGCTAGGCCTCTGATACATGCCATGAAAATTTGGCCTAAAATTACGCAGCATATAGTTCAGGTCAGTGAATAATCATCTAAAGTTTTGTTTCTGTTTCATACTTTTCAAAAATATAATAATGCAGTCTTAGTGGTACTATCAGCAATTTGCAGAATTCTTAGATCAAAATCATAATTTAGCACTTTGCGATCTTTAGCTTTCTTATTTTAATCGTATTTCAGTTTTAAATCATTTTTATAAATACTTGTAGCAAAAATCACTACAGTAATTATTCATCTAATGCAATCCAAAATGCTGCTCGTATTTAAAAAATGATGAAGACTTTTGTATTATGTAAGAAGTAAGTAAGCTTTTCAAAATTAAATGTTTTATTCATAATTAGTTAAAATTTAATAGTATTGTATTTTTTTGTTGATTTCAAATTTTTTGCCTCTGAATTCCAGCTCAAAATTTTTATTAGTTGTTACTGTTAGTTGGAAAATCTTGAACTTGACATTTTATGTTTTTAAAGATTTTAAATCTCCAAGTACCGAATTAATGAATCTTGAGCTCGTTCTCATTTGCTAAAATTTTGGCAATTTCAGTGTGCTTGCTTTCGTGGAAACGAAAAATTGAATAATTTTGCTATTGAAGGCTTAGGTAATTGCGTAGTTAAATTAATGACTAATGAAGCAAATGGTTTCTGCTACAATCAGCTTATTTTCCAACCTCTGCAGGTAGCGCGATTGTATTTAGATTAAAAGTTGTTACTTTATATTAGATACAACAGAATTTATCGGTTAAAAAATTGTTCTTTAATGTTTTTGTGATGTTAATTTTAGTATTGCCTTTGTATTGCTAAATGTGAACACAGAATAACTCAAAAATAATGAGTATTTAAGTATTTAAAAGTTTGTTATCTTCACTCTTCTCACATAAATCTAAGTACTGCTGTTGTGTAGTTTGAATTTTTGTTAATTTTTTGTTTAAAGTCCAAATTTTATCTTTCTTTATTCTGTATGAAGCACAGAAATAAGATTTCAGGTAGTTAAGAACTTTGTTTTCTTGAAATTTTGCAAAATATGTTTGCGTCATAAAGTATAGCAGTAAGAAGATATATGGTATATTTAATTATAAATTATGGTAAGCGTATTGAAAGTATCTTGGAATTTTTAATATTATAGGATATACTGTGTGCAGAAATGTGCTCGGAAGAATCACAAGAACAAATTGTTTCATTGCTTGCTACATTTGTGCATTCACATTCAGATATGATTGGTTCTGGATGGCGGCCTCTGTTCAGTGCTCTGAAATCATTACGAATTGAATGTCATTCTGGTATGCTTTTAATTTACTGTAGTTATTGTATTCTCGTAACTGAAAATTATTTATAACAAAAATAATAAAAATGTTATATTATCGAATATGAATGATAAAATATTAAAATTAGCAACTACGAGTAACGCTTTGGATGACTTAGATTTGAATTTCATATTTATTGTAATTACTTTTATTTCCAAAAAGTAATAGCTCAAAAAAATGATTTACTTTTATTGCTATACATAACAGACTCTTATTTTTTTTAAAACTCAAAACTGAAAATGAGTCGTTAATTATTTTATCAGCTAACTGACTATTTATTTGCTTACTTAAATAAATAATTAATTAATTAGTTATTCGTTCACTCATTTATTTATCCATTTATTCTTTTATTTATTACGTCACAAATTTGCATTTTTATTTCTGCACTATTTGGTGTATTTGAACAAAATATCACCAAAATTACATACTGTAACAATGATGTTCAAATTCAAGAAACAATGAATGATCAGTCAACAATATCATCAATCCAAGCAATAGTACTTGATATTTTTTCAACATATCTAAGTATTAAAAATACAAATGTCTTCTTTACAACAGTTCTGGATTACATTACATGCGTTCTGCAGTACCTTCAATCTACTGGATCAGGTTGACTTTTATATGTTAATCAGTTTTATCGAATATTAAATAATACAAGTTAAAAAAGTTAAAACAAATAGCATGGGTACTAAGATAAGCTTTTCTAATTTCAAATTTAGAGATTTGAAAATTTTCATAACTTATGCATGAATCTTAGGTTGATGTGGAATCTAAACTGATTGTCAAAGTATATGAGTACTAAATACATGACCTTTTGTCACATTTATGTGTACATAATAATTTCAATAACATAATGATAATAAATGATTACTTTTCATTATCCCTTATACATATCGTTTAATAATAAAATTACAAATTTTGAATTTTATCAATGGTTTTCATTGATTTCAGAAAAAGAATCGGTGTCAGTTCCATCAGCTACCATAACTATTGCTTCAACCGCTTTGCAAAATTTACTGAAAGTTGAACGAATGCTTCACAGTTTATTTACTTCAACTGATTCCGCTGATCCACACTTACTACAAAGGTAATTTTGATGATTAACACTGCAGATTATCTCAAATACAATATTTATTTTTCAAAGTAACATTATTGTTGTATTGTTTAAAAAATCAATGAAAATTATTACAGTATAGTAGTTTTAAAGCATTGCTACAACGATAATGGATGATCATTTTTTATATATAAAAATTTTTCCACTTAAAATTATTTAAGGCTGACTTCACGTAAGAGAACTCAACAATGTATTGATCGCCACACAAATATATCTTCGCTCGTAGAGCCATTGTCAACCGTATTCATAGAAGAACCTTTTTTCAACAATTATCAAGCAGTTCTTCCAACAGATTTAGATGGTTTTCTTGAAGGTTTTCGATCTCTTTTTTGGCTTTAGAACTTGAATTTTGATGGTAAATTTAATCTTTAAAGAATTATCTCCAATGTTCAAGTGAGCAAAATTTTAATTACAAACTTGCAGTGATTGCAGTATACAAATGACATTTCATTTAGTATTGATAAAACATAAACAATAATTTTATTATTATTCTCATTATTGTTACTTTAAAGGGTAAATTTTAGCACCGCAATTGACCTTACCGTGGGAAAATTATACGCCATCAATGCGAAGTTGTGCTGAGATTTATTTATCATTATTGGAAAGTCTTACGGCTGTTACTTTTGTTTGTCCAACATTGTTACAATCCAACTTACTGCGCACTATTGCTGATTTGATCATCGAACAAGTTGATACTAATTTTGGTAATTCTATATTAATATAAAATTTTCTGGATGATATTTTACTTTCAACTTTTTGGAATGATTTGTTTGTGTACTATCAATCAACAAATATTCTCATGCATTAAGATTATATCGTCAGAATTCTATGATATTATAAGCAAATTTTTCAGGTATTGATTTCGGTGCATATGGATTGTCAGTTCTGGTTTTTCCAATGTTACAGCAGTGGATGCGAAAAGGCATTTCAGAACATGAAAATAACCTGAAACAAGCTGTTGGATTATTTACGGAAGTTGTCAAGAAATACGTGATGCTACAACGGGAAGGTATGAAAAAACAGCAATATAATTTATGATGTTATCTATTTAAAATCGAAAAATTTGATTGTTTTATTGTACATGGCTTGATCAGTATGACAGATTATATATATATATTCATTGTAAATTTAATTCGTATTATTTGACTAAAAATGTAAGAATAATCAGACACATTGAAATTACTTGTTTCTTTTATGAATTATACTTTTTTGGTGCTAAAATGTTGAATATTTTAGAAAATACATGGGTTAATCGAGTTTTGCTTGATACGTTTACTTTGCTAACGGAATGTATTACATGTGCATCAGATCGCATTGCTCGTTTAGGTTATGCGTGTCTAAGTTTTTTAGTAAAGTCTTGTGTAAATTCGTTTACAAAAGAGCAGTGGACTATTGTTATAAGATCTCTGTGGAATGCAACGTGAGTTTTAAATCAAATAAACTTATTTTACTACAGATTAATAGAATTTTTCCAAACATTTTCTCAAGTATATTTTTTAAAATTAGATTGTATTGTGAATTCACAAAGTTATTTTTTATGAAATTATTCAAGTTATACTTTACAGTGACTTGACATTGGTTCATATCAGACTTTTAATGAAATATTACATGAGTGGTTCAAATGATCCAAAAGGTGATCTTGGTACGGTTCGTGTTTTAACTATACAGAATTCAATATTTTCATGTGAAGCATTATTATCAGCTCAACAGGTGAGACTTTGAGACTATGAGTTAAAAGAATTATTTTTCATATTACATTACAATCAAAATTTATATGCGAAAGAGAGTAAAACTTCTAGGTTATATTGTTAAAACTTCTAGGTTAAAACTTCTAGGCTTAATTTTAGGTATTAAAGCTTCTAGGTTAAAACTTCTAGGCTTAATTTTAGGTATTTTTGGTAGACGAACAAATGAATTTTTCACGCTCATCAAGTGAAAAGAAACAGCGTGAAGTGATACTTTCCAATAGTGATGGAAGTGAAGAAAGGTTAGCTTCCTGAAACCAGGAGTTAATTTAATAATCAAAACTTGATTGAATTTTGAATTTTAGGATTCTCGCACATGAACTGGTTTGTATCCTTACTAGTCATTTACATATTTTGGATCTAATTGGTACCTTACTACTCAACGGGATTGATTTCCCGGTAGATGGACACACTGCTCATCATTTGAAAAAATTTGATGAACGAGTAGAAAGTGATGACAAATGTATGATTCTTTACTATAAAACTTTATTTTCATTTACATAATAAATGTGAAGTTTTTAGAGTGTAGATGTAAATGACATCTTGTGATTCTTATGGATTTTTTACCATAAGTACAGCTGAAGAAGCAAGTATTTAAAGGTAATTTACACATGCTATCAGCAGAGGATATAGCTATATTATTTCGATGTGTGGATGCATCTTTTGTGGTTGCAAGAAATTTCGACAAACGTTTAGGTCTGAAAATGCTCATTCAAGACCTATTTTATTTTCCTACTCTTCCAAATTTATCCAAACAAACATCCCTAACTTGGACCATACACTCATTAGGAATGTATGAAATGGTACGGAAATGTCCCATGAACAAGTAATTCTTCTACATATGATACTTTTTATTTATTATATATTTGATAAAAACAACTGCTTGCTTTTAAATGTTATTCCTAAACTACAAATAATTTTCTTTCTTTAGAGAAGGAATTGCTCAGTGGTTGTCATCAAATGAAAATACGAAAAATGATCAATATTACATAAAACAACTTCAATTATACCATCGTGAAGTATGCACTTATGCATGCAAATTAGAAAAAAAAACATCAGCAGAAGTTTTGAGACACTTGGCGACTTCACACGTTACTCCGGTAGATATTTTAATTTTTAGAATTCAGCTACAGTAATATAAACTGTCATATCTGAAGATTTAAACTCAGATTAATTTGAAAATTTACGAAGCAGTTGTAAATAGAAAAGTTAGTTCACGCTGCTTATTTTAGCAAGTCACTCTTATCAATGATGACTCGACAGAAGACGATCTGCATAAATTATTAACTTCGGGAAAAACTGCTGAAATCATATCTGATTATAAACGCTCAAAAACTGCGCAGTCATTACTTCCAACAGCAAAACGAATCAATCCATTCAAAGAAAACTATGAAGAAGAACAAAATACTACGAATGAGAAATTGATTCTGAATGTAAAAATTTTGAATACTCTAGATTGGGAACAAAACCACAATTGAAACTAAATTAATTCAAAAATTTACCATGTAATAAACTAGGATTGTTTCTACATCTTCAATGATTCGTCAAATTTTGATTTGCTGAATTCGTCACATTTTGATTCGTCAAATTTCGTCAAATTTTGATTTCTTGATTTTTTGATATCTCTTTTTTTATTTTTATGCTATCTAAATTACCAAGACTTTTATTTCGTTACATGGAAACTAAAATTT